TTGTGATGGTGGTGGCGATGAAGATAATGGTGGTGGCGATGAAGATAATGGTGATGGTGATGGTGATGAAAGTAGTGATGGTGGTGGTTGTGGTTGTAATAGTGGTGGTGGTGGTAGTTGTGGTGATGGTGACAAAAGTAGTTAATAGATAATAAATAAATAAAATATATTATTATTTTGAAAAAAATTCATTCCCATTCCTTGTTTTTTATTCCCACATTTTATGTGGGAATGAAGTTGTGTGTAAATTTTCATTTCCATTCCCACTTTATTCCTTTTAACCAAACAACTACTAATATAGGAATAAAACTTTCATTTTCATTCTCATCATTCTATTCCCGATTACCCAACAAGCATCTAATAATTACAAAGTATGAACTCTTGCCACGCGTCTTGGGTCAATCTTGAAGGTTCTACTATTGATGTAGTGTGAATCTAATAAGCTAACCCCAAATATACAAGTTTCTAATGTCGACTTCTTCCGCTTTCTGTGCAATTAAGCTTATTATTATTGTTATTATTATTATTGTATATGTATGGGTTTACTTAAAATAATTATCTTCAATAGGCTCCCGACTTGTATTACAAAAATTATTTTCAAGTATCTATTAGTGTATTGTATTTAAATTTAACACGCTATAATTTCTTATGAATCTAGTTGTGTCATATCTAATAGTATAAAAAAAATAAAATGAAAATATTGATAACAGCTGGTGCAGATGATACGCCATGACCTCAGTTTTATATAATAGTCTCGAAAACAAGCAAGAATGACCTTAACCCATTATTATATGATCTCTTCCTTAATGGTTGCAATTAAGTAAGTTTCCTTTATTAATTTTTTAACCTATTTTTCAAAAATAAAATGCTTGATTGTGATGCATCAGCAACCACTTTGTAGAGAGATTGTGTCAAAGGGGCTGCTGAGTTTGTATTAAACGTCCAACACTTTTTTATTAGGGTTCACCAAATAATCTCAAATCTTAGAATGGGCTCTGAGCTCCAAGGAACTAATTAGTTGCTTTCCCTTTATAAAAGGGGTCCATCGTTTTCAAGTTAAGTTTTTTCTCTATGTCTTATCCTTTACAGAACCTTGTCTTTGGTCACATCCAATTCCTTGATTCAGCAATAATCTTTGTCGATGTTACTGATGGGTGACTCGCGATAAGGTTTATGTACTGTTATCAAATACGAACATCGAGTTGGTGAGTCAATTAACGAGTCATCGGGTTAACAAAGGGAATATTTTTTTTTTTAAGGATAAAAATATTCTCAAATTAAATTGACAGTATTTAAAATATAAAAATAATTTGCATTATATAATATATAAATAAATCAATTAATGACTTCTTTTTTTGGTATTTACAACAAAGCATAAATACTTCTGTTAATAAAAAGTTATAGTTATGTATTAATTGCTTCAAATTAAAATTTAGTATATATTCTTCTCAATAAAATTATGTAATCAACGTTTTAATTAATTTTAAACTATCTCATGTCTAGGTATTAATAAACAGTTCAGAGTTTTAACTCCTCCTTAACACACGATGATTTAAAAAAAAAAAATTGGTGATTTCCTTGTAATATGAATAAGGAATAATTTGGCATTTTAGTTAAATTTAACAGAGATATAATCCAAAATAGAGAAGATCAGGCATATCAAAGGAGGAGGACTAAACTAGGACCAAATATTTATCAGTAATCAATTATAAAGTGAGTTTTTCTTCTCTTTATCTTTTAATAATCATTTTGCATACATATTAGGGTTGTAGACTAGGGATTATGATGTTGATTTTCCGTCAATTTTAATGAGTAAAAATTAAACAAATGGAATCCTTAAGTTAATATAACTGATATTGTATGATTTATATCAGTATTTTTGAAGTTATGAAAGAATCTAAGTTTTTGAAAAAATGATGAATAAAAAACTTTAAGCCACCGAAATCCAAATTTCTCACGACGGTTTTGGTCAAAAAATTATTTTTAATTGTAATACATCGTGAGACTTTAATGGGGCTACGTTACTCACTCAATTGGAGCATAGATTGTAAGATATGATCCACACACTGGAAAAGAAAAATTGTATTTTTTCAAGGTCAGACTCTTGAAAATGACAAATATATAGATATCTAGCTCATTAATTTAATTTTTTATCATATGCACAAAAAGAATAATCTATTTATTATCCATTAAAAAATTATTTTATAAATTTTTATTCAAACCATACTTTACCAATATCAGTTTAGCCACCAATTTAATATCTATTAAAAATAATTTTAAAAAAAGGTTTTTGGTCATTAAAAATATATATTTTTTATATTTGTGTCCTTTGTTTATAAGTTTTTTTTTCTCAAAGTTTTCAATTTTTTTTTAATTCTTAATCTTTAAAATTTATACAATTAGATCTCTGTATGTTAAAGAAATCTAAAATAAATTAATGAGTATTAATAATCATGCTTTAAAATTATATCAGTAGGTATATATATTGTTTTATCTTTACCCATCACAATAGCAATTGGATGTTTTTAATAGGTATTTATTAGACCAAATAAAGTAGATATCCATTTTATACCCGATCCATTATCATTCTCATCAACTCTCCTTTAATTAGAGAGATAATATTATTCATGCAATCCTAAAACAACATGTTTTTGTTTATGTGCTTGTAATGGATTTTTCAGTTTATATATATATAATTATTAAATAATAAACACATAAATTTACAATGTTTATAAACATTTATTCTACAAATAAGTTTGAAAAGGTTACGAACATCAACAAATCACTTGACACTTAAAACTCGAACTTTAGATAAATTCAAAAATTCACATTACACAACCACTTCGCAAATTTCTTTTTAACAAGAAAAGGTTTAACTTAAAAGAAAATATTAAGATCTCAAACTATGAGACAATCTTCAGTATTTCAAGACCCACCACTCAGCGCAACATACACTATAATTAAGTTATATGAATAAATTGATATGTGGCATTAAAATTGATAAAATTTTTAATATATATTTTTTTAATTTTGTAAATTACTTAAATAATATAACTCGGATCAACTTTTAAAGAAGGTTGCCATCATTGAAAAGGAGGTTTGGAAAAAAAAAAAAAAAAACCACCACTTCACTTTTTACACGAAGAAAATAAAATTCTTTGAAAGAAAAGAGAAATAAACTCCATTTTGTAAAAATAAGGAAACTTATCTCACATGAAGATTTTTTTTTTTTATGAAATAAAATTTATATAAAAATAAAAGAAATAAAAATAGTTTTTGAAGGAAGAAATCTTCCCTTCTGGTCTACTAATCACGAATTGATATAATCGAATCTAATCATAAATGGAGAATGATTCCCTTCTTGTTTTCTTGGGAAAAATTATGAATATATTTCTATAGTATTAGCTCAAAATGAAAGGCTGTGAAGAAAAAGAAAAGAAATGAATAAAATAACTGAAATGATGATGATCTAATCATTTAAAAATTACAAGTTCCGATAGTTTCCTCTATAAAAATCAAATCAAATCCAATCCAACCCACAGCTCAGCTTAATTCCACTAATGGCGATTTAATTGGATTAGCTTTTCAGCTTTGATTAAGCCAATCAAACACCACATGCTCTCTGCTCCTCCCTGCTTTCCCACTCTTCGATCCATCATCATCTTCTATTTAATTCAAACTTCAACGTCCGGGCCTACTACCCTTGCTATCTTATACCGAAGTGCGTCTTACGCACCCCGCAACTGGCGCATGCCCAAACACGTGCGGAACTTTCACTCACAGCCCATAAAGGAAGGATACCACGCTGCGCAGAACGCATCGTGGCGTTGTTATAAAAAACGAATATCCAATTTTTGAAAATTACAGGAAAGGGAGTAAACTGTTATATAGTCCTTGTATTTCTAACAAAATAATTTGTTAATCCATGAAGTTTAAAAAACATAATATTGTAATTTCTTATTTGTTTGTAACTTAGGGATAATTTGATATTATTTTAGAGATTCTTTGTTTTAAAAAATGTAAAAAACTGATAACTGGCTGTCAAAACTTTTCAAAACCAAACAAAATAATTTTTAAAGTTACGATAGTTATGGTTGGTTTTGATTTTCTTCGAACATTTAAAAAATTTTCAAAACAAACAAAATTTCTATTGTTATTTCTAAAGTTTGAAAACAAATAACAAAACATGAAAAAAATTCTTAAATTTTCTATTTTTTATTAAAAACTAAATTTGTTTTTTGTTCTCACCAAAAAAAAAAAAAAAAACCAAAAACCAAAAATCAATTGAATTTTTCAAAATAAAAAATAATTTAAAAAATTATAATACTAGATTTAGTTTTGCTTTTCTCAATAAAAAATTTTAAAATAATCAATTTTTTTGTTTCTCTTTCAAACAAATTGAAAACAAAATAGAAAATAAAAAAACTTGAAGTGATGGCTAAGAATTCCTTAATCTTTCATCACAATTTAATACTTATAAAATATTATTTTTTTATTAGTCAAATTTTCTAATCTCACTTATGAGAAACCAAACTAAAAGAATTTTTTTTTTTTTTATAAAAAAACTAAAATAGTATCTTAAAAAGTAATTACGGTCAAGAGATTGATTTACGATCTTCAAAAACTAAAAGGACTGACCTATAAAATCATAGAAGATATGGGGTAAAATTATAATTTACTCCTCGGAAAGTGTACTCGCAGTTTACTACCGAGTCACTAGCCCTTTAACCCGAAATTAGTTTTTTCCCCTCCAAATTTTTTCTTGTTCGTTTCTCTATCGCTGTCTCCTTCTCTCTCCCTCTAAGTCCCAGCTCAGGAGAGGCCCCATCCCATGGAGTCGCTCTCTCTAGGGTTTCTTTACACTCTAACCTTCTCTACCTAACACAAGATTGAGAGAGAGAGAAATGTTGAAGAATTTCTGGCTATTTCTTTGCTTGCTTCAGTGATTTTTTCTTTTTTAGGGTTTGTTTGTTATTGTTGTATATAAATAGAATAGCGTAATGCCGGCTCATCGATCGAAGCAGGATGCAGCACCAAAGCAGGTGCGGCGGGACCCATATGAAGTCCTTGGCGTCTCCAGGAACTCCACTGACCAGGAAATCAAGTCCGCCTACCGTAAAATGGCTCTCAAGTATGTTAATTATTATTACAGATGAGGTGGAAATGTATTTTTTTTATTTTACAGATTTTTTATTTTTTTGGTTAATTTTGACAGCTTTTGTCACTGAATTTCATTTCATTCTCAGAGTGTGTCAACGAAATAATTTAATGAGGTTTTACATTATGAATAATTATTGTTTAAGCAAACTATAGAGTTAAATAAAGGATGGTTTTGCGACATTATTGGATTTACTGTAATTCCATGAGACGAGAGGGTAGTGCAATGTATCACTTGTTTGGAAAGAAAGATTTGATTTATTTAAGATATGATGGAAAACGGAATAGAGAACCAGACTCAGAGTTGTTAAGTAGCACAATAGGAACTCTAAATCACTAGTTCTTATAAGATACCCAAATGCATTCAGGTTAATCAAGGTTTGAAAGTTCTCTTTCGTGTACTATTTCAGATACCACCCTGACAAAAATGCAAATGATCCTGAAGCAGCTGATATGTTTAAAGAGGTTACATTTTCCTATAATATATTGTCTGATCCAGACAAGAGACGCCAATATGACTCAGCTGGTTTTGAGGTGAGAAATCTAGGTGGTGGAGGACTAGTATTTCAAATTCAAATGTCTACGTAGATTATTTTCTTCTTTCTGAAATAATGTGGTGGGCTATCCAGATACCAGCCATTTCAATTTCTGCAAGAATCCTAATCGTTAGGTTTATATGGTAATGTACTGGGAAGAATGATCTTGTTGTCCTATGATCAGGCTGTTGAATCAGAAAGTCAAGAACTTGAACTAGATCTTTCAAGCTTGGGAGCTGTGAATACTATGTTTGCGGCACTCTTTAGGCAAGTTTATAGTGAATTTATTCAATATATATATATATTTCTGGAGTAATTCTCTTGAATCATGATGATTGTGATGGTTTGTATTGATTTCTATTTTTACTTTTTCTTGCATGATAGTAAACTTGGAGTACCAATTAAGACCACTGTATCAGCAACAGTCTTGGAGGAGGCGCTTAATGGTGTGGTTGATATTCGTGCACTTCCACTTGGGGAACCTATTTCTAGGAAGGTGAGTTATTTGTTTTCTGGTTTATGTGTCAATTTTAGCAATTGTACTAGGGCTCATTGTAAATTCTACATTTTTAAACAGGTTGAAAAGCAATGTGCTCACTTCTATTCTGTCACAATAACAGAAGAGGAGGCAAGGGCTGGATTTGTTTGTCGAGTGCAATCATCTGACAAGAGCAAGTTTAAGGTGAGAATAATCATAAACCTTTGGCACAAATCCTTCATGATTTAAGGCGGATACACATATTTTTACATTTTGTTTCCCTATGCCAAACTGTATTCTTTCTGAGCAAAGGATTTTAGCATCTTTGAATGAGGGAATAAGGTGAATGTTTGCATGTGAAAGGAACATATTGCTTATTGGAGTAAACTTGGCAGTCGTTGAATGTATTTTATGTCGCCCTCTTAAGTTTGTGTGAGAACTATTAGTGGAATCAAGGAGTAATTATCATCTTCTCATTGCAAGACACACAGGGACGACAACTGATGAAGGGCTTGTCTAGTGTTACTGTCAGTCACTGTGCACAGAGCAAAAAGATATTGTTAGGAAAATCACTCCCCTCCTTATTTTCTTTAGAAAATACTCCCTCTATCCCAAAAAGATTTTCTTGCTTTCTATTTTTGTTTTTCCAAAATATTTGTCTTAGTCTAGATATTATGTAGTTTTATACAGTACCCTCAATGAAAAACCATTTTATAAGAGACCTACAACTGAAATGAGGGTATTTTGGAAAACTGTGAACAAAGAATAGTGACATGGCGTAGTAACTAATGATTTCCTTAAACTGTGTGAAAAGTCAAACGTGACAATGTCTTTGGAACAGGGGGAGTTGTTTTTTTGAGAAAAAATGATGCTTTCTTCAAAAAGCTGATGCATTGTGGAACACTTTGTGGTGGCCAAAGGCTGCCATGCAGCCATTGGACATCAATACTAAACAAGTGTTTAGAATGAGTCTCTTCAAAGAAATGGCTTTGGAGATTTCTTGTTCAATTCGTGTAGTTGTGTAAAAATCATAGATTATGGTGTTGCGAAGCTGCCTGAAAGGTTCAAAAGAGCGTGCTGAATGTTTGTTTCTGATTGGAGTCAGAAGATGCCATTTGTGATTGAATGTTCTGTAGTAGTGATGCTCATGTTTTTTACTCCCAAGGAAGTAAAGGAAGTTGGTTCATGGATTGTGTGCTCTATAGCAGGTCAATTGTGAATTGCACTATATAATGGCGCCAATTATAATTTTCTTGGGAAAAGTGCTAAAAACTTTCACGTGGTTGGCCTGTTTGCATTTGCTGACCAAGTTACAATTTTTTGAGCTTCAGATTCTTGTGGTGTCATTTGTTGCATTTTCCCTTTTCCATTAGTTAAGTTTGCTAAAATAAGTCCAACTTTTTATTTATTTCTAATTGCTTTTCTATCAATTTATCAAATTCATATTATCAACTTCAAACTCGAATAGGTATCAATACTCTTATAGTTTTCTCAGTTATGTAAAATGGATTCTATGCCATGGATGGCTTTCTTTGTATTATAAAATGTAGTCTCTATCTCTCTCTTTTTATGAGTATATTTCATTTCTTTGTTGTACATGGTAACTGGACCATAAAATGTATAAATATTGATATATTTCATGTTCAAGAAATGTCTGTTACAATGTTGAATTAGATATTCAATTGTTTGAAATTGAACAATTAGGACGTAGTTCAAAAAAGTTAAAAAGTTTTGAGGATTTATAGTAGCAACTTAAATGACAAAAAAGGCAGATGCTAACAGAGAAAATCACAAGTCACTGAAGTGCCAAAATCTTGGTCACCGAATTGCACATGTGCCAATCCATGGACTACTCTTTGCATTTTTCCAAAATTGCTTTGGAACAGATAAGGCACATTACAATATGTAACTGTGTGGAGAGGTATATTTTTGGTAGATTGGTATTCTGTAGTTATTAATGAATAATGGAGAGCTTTTCTACTCATGGTCTGGCCTTTTATTGCTTCCTTTCTATTAGTGTTATTTTTCACGGTTTGGAAGCATGTAAAAATCTGTGGCCAATTCAACAAAACCAGCATAGTCGACCGGTTATGATAGGGGGTTAAGGCTTTAAGTTTAATTGATTTTGAATTTATTGATAAGCAGGAGCTGTGTGATTTAATATTTCCTATGGGAAAATGGATGGCTAATTGCCATATTACTGGGTTCTTGACTGCTTGGTCTGTTTGGGCATTATGATTCTCTTCGAGAGAGGAGTTTTCTGGTATCCTTTGTGGGTGCCGAATAATTGCTGCAATGGAGATGACAACCCCACTTGTCGAGAGTCCCGTTATTTTTCATATCCAATAAGGAATGGAAGAAGATATTCGGCTTCCTAATTCAATGCAAAAAGAGTTTCCTGTAAACGTTGTCTTTTTGACTCATATAGCTTTGCATTTTCTTTAATAGTCGGAATTGATTTTCTTTAGCTTTGTTGGAAACGTTCAATTGTTTTTGCATTTGGTTTTCTCTACACCTCTCTGTAGTGATGGAGAATCACAGGGACCTTCCCTTTTGGCAGCAACGAATTAGAACTTTTGGTTTCGTTATGAGGCTGGAAATATGGTCCTTGATACTATTTGATAAAAATGGAGAATTAGGGATCAGAGAAGTGTCAGAAAAGGATATGGGAGAAGCCAAGAACATTAATGTGTTTTTTTTTCCTGTGGGGGCAGGTTTAATGAAATTGAGAGTGATCAATCTCAAAATTGAATTTTCATTCATCAGTGACTATCTCTGAACAATAATGTTTGATCTTATGTTAGTAATGAAGCCCAATGAAAACCCCAAACCTAGAATGATAGGATGATGATTGGAAGTAGAAAACCAAAAGACAATTAGTATCAATACAAAATAAGTGGTCAAAAGACTCAAAACGAACTTGAAATTATAGCTCTAGAATACACAAGAAAATCTTCAACCATTCTCCATCAGTTCTTTCCATGTAAGGGGAAAATAAGGCATCCTGGCCTTTATGGGATACAGATTATATGCCAAATGGTCCATTTTTGCCTTTAATTGCTCGGCTTTGTGCCGTGGGAGCAGGTTTTTGAGTGTATATAACTTGAAACTGTTTCTTATTGGAATTTTGTTAAAAACCTTGGGGAAAAAAATAAAATAAAAACCGACTAACATGTTTGAATGAAAAAAATGTTGCTTCCAGTATTGTTTTAGTTTTCTGACAACCAGTCCATAAATTTCTCTTACCTTCCTAATCTCCATTCAACAATTTTCAGATTCCTGCATAATTTTTACTTCCATCTCTAACAGTTTATCTCAAGTAGTGAGTTCTCAACTGATATCAAGTTCTTTATTATAGCTTCCTTATGCATGAAAAATTATTATTACGATTACTAATTGATTATCTTTTGTACAGTTATTGTATTTTGATCATGAGGAAAGTGGTGGATTGAGCCTTGCTCTACAGGTATGATGCACTTCAACCCCCTCTCTTTGTCGATCTTCTTAAATCAAAGCCAACAGTTCCTATATTCTTACTTTGATTCTGGTCTCGGATGGATCTTAAAGAACATCATGACTTCGTTTATCACATCATGACAAGCAGATTGGATATCTTCCCACAAGAGATTTTAGATCTCTCACTAGTGAAGTACTGCTACCTAGGTATTAAGATGGACACTATTTGGTCAAAGAGGAGCTACCATTGAGGAAGTTCTTTGTGGAATTCATCTGCCTTCACATGTTCCTTGCATGTTTGGCATAAATTTAGCTCAATAGAATCAAGTTCAATGTTCTTCACTAAACACATTCGATTCATTACTTTTAACCCATTTTTACTGGTTTGCTTTTTGATGTAGGAGGACAGTGCTAAAACAGGAAAGGTTACATCTGCTGGAATGTACTTTCTATGTTTTCCTGTTTACCGGCTGGATCAAACCGTCAACTTGGTAAGCTGATGATTTAAGAGATCAATGTCAAGTGTCATCTTTGACATTTTTCTTTTATTTGGTTCATTGTTATTCATTTTGGTTTTGGAATTTCTGTGGTTTCAGATTGCAGCCGCAAAAGATGCTGATGCTGCCTTCTTCAAAAAGTTGGATGGGTTTCAGCCATGTGAAATAACTGAACTGAAGGCTGGCACCCATGTTTTTGGTGTCTATGGTCAGTTCTAAGATTTTTCTTGTTGTCTATAGCACCATGCTTCTTTGATTATATATGTGTGGATAGGCTGACGGCATCCTTCTGGTCCTGGCTCTTTCTTCCAGGTGACAATTTTTTTAAAAGTGCAAGTTATTCAATAGAAGCTCTTTGTGCTGCACCTTTTATGGAAGAAAAGGCTAATCTTAGAGCTGTTGAAGCTGAGATTCTTGCAAAGAGGGTAGAAATATCTAAGTTTGAAACTGAATATAGAGAGGTCTGCATTTGACTTAAGCAGTCTATATTTGTGTGCGCTTGTCTCTTTTTTACTAATTTTTGTGGCCTTTAAACAGGTATTGGCACAATTTACCGAGATGACCAGTAGATATGCACAAGAGATGCAAGCGGTGAGTTTTAACTTGTCAAAATTGTTGCTGATATCTATATGAATATGAGGTATGAATGTATTGATGGTTTCTGATGTTACACTATTGATGTTGGTTTTGCAGATTGATGAGCTTCTTAGACAAAGGAATGAAATTCATGCCTCCTACACCACTGCTCCGCCAATGAAGCGGAGTTCAAGTAAAAACAGGAATAAGGGGGCCCCTTCAGGGAGACCAGAGAAGATGCACAAGTGAGGGATAAGAAACCTTCTATGCGGGATAGACCTAAGAAGAAGAAATGGTTCAACATCCACTTAAAAGTTGACAAAAGAAAGCCTTGCTAAATATGGTAAGATCTGTGCCATTTGCAATTTTTTATTGTATGTTGTGTCTTTGCCTTGTTCAGTAGTCTAATTTTACTACTGCTGTGAATGCAAAATCCTAGCTGGATATGGGAAGCTGAATCTGAAGCGCTTGTGTTAATGATTTAACTGTCTGCACCCATTAATTTGCGTATGAAGGGCAGATGGTTAAGCAAAAGCATGAGGTTAAGCAATTCCTCGATCATGTGTTAATGAAGGGCAGATGGTTGTTTTGTCTTGCTGTCATGTTCTGGCAGCTTGTAAGAATGACAACATCTCATTGATATTGTAAAATTCCCTCCCTTTTTCAGTCTTTTGGTCATTCTATTGTTCTTTCCCTCAGATTGTAAGAACACGCACCTGTAAATTGCATTATTTATTCATGAAAATCCTTTCATCAACTTCTGGCAGGGGTTCTGTTTTTGAGATGGAATGTCATTACCTTGTTATGCACTTGTTTTGTACAGGCCAAGTGGGACAATTATTGGTTTGTGGATCGGTCACTTTCATTTCTGCTTTCCTTTGTGAAAATCTGTTGTTATTGATAGTGCAATCATAGGCAGCGACAACTTTCTTTCCTTGTTCTGGCTCTGCTACTCAATTTTTCCGAATACCTGACTGTGGGTGTGGTTCTAGAAGTTGTTTGTAGCTTAGGAGTATTCATGCAAAAACAAGAGGAATGAGGTCTCACGTTCAAGTCCCATTTCTGTCAATCCATTAGTGTATATAGAACTCTTTATTGTGAGTCTAGTTCTTGAAGTAGCCCTCTGCCATCCAGTGTGTTCAATTTGTCAATGATTTCACTGAAAAAGGAAATTTAACAGTCGGTGTTTTCCATGTGCATCTTGTGGAAAGTTTCATGTAAGTTGAAGACGGTGATGTAGAAATTGCATCAATAAACTAAGGGCATGTTTGGTATGCTAAATCAGCAGTGTACCGTAATAATAATTACATTAAATTCTTAATTCCATCACATGATTTTAATTACATTACATCGTGCCAAGCATCTTGTTAGGGAAACTTTTTGTTTTGTTTTTTTTAACCCTTGCCTTTGATGATGCTTTGAAGACTACATTACTTGCACATGTCAGCTTCTGCATTCGTAAATGCTTGATGTACTATGCTAAAGTATGCATCTGTTTCACCCGAGGGAGAATGAAAAAAAAAAAAAAAGGATGTATCTTTAGAAAATCAACAGAAAGAACAGCAAGACTCCTCTATTATAACAATCATGGACCTTCTCATCAAACTAAGCCTCAGATGATCGTCATCGCAAATTAATTTTGGCAGCGTTAAACTGATCACACCTGTGCCTCACCTCTCCTTTCTTCCCGGTCTTGATCTTATAAATGCTAACTTTCTCCATTGCATGCGCGAAATCTTTAAAGAATGCAGTCTCATTTGCAGCATACAAGTCGACAAAGGGCTTGGTCCTCTTATCTACAGACATGGCTTGATCCGTTGACAGCAACCCTAACCCCGTCTTCAAATTTCGATAATACAAATTATCAAACTTTCCTGGTGTCATCACGTCATTATAAGCACTCATAGCTGGGTCCTTTGTGTAATTTGCGCACAATTTCCTTAGCCCTTCTGCATATTTGGGGTGATATGCAGGGTCGGTCTCTGAAGTTTTGCTGAAGTTAAAAAGCCTATTACTAAATTCTTTGCAATGTGAAAACCCTATCGTATGAGCCCCGACCAAAGCCACCATTTCTTGCACTGAAAACCCTTTGGAATCAAAACGGGAGATGATATCTGACAATGGCATTGTTGGTGTAGCAATATTGCCTTCAACTCGAGAAGCGTTGGATACCAGGCCATCTTTGCGTCCTAGACGCACATGATAGTAAGGACCTCCCACCATTATGACAAGGTTGCGAGCAGCAGTGGCTAGAATGTCAGCACAAGAGACAATGCCAGGGCATTGGAGCTCGAGGGCAGTCTTGGCACGAGTGACAAGGTCAAAGGCATCTCCAGGGAGGGGCTGGTTGATGTCAGCATCACGTTCAGCCTTGTTGAAGGATGTGGAGGCGATGAGCAAGGAACCATCACAGCCTTCCACCATGCAGTCGTGGAAGAAGAGACGAAGAACACCAGCAGCAGTGGCAGGGCTAGCGATTTGCTTCTCCGAGACGATCTGTTCCATGATAGAAGCGAATTGTGGGCATGATTTGTTGTAATAGTCGAGGGAGAGTTCGGACTTTGAATATGAAAAGGATATGAAGAAAAGAAGTAATATCAGAAGATTACGGCCAGGAAATGCCATAGTGCTTGGTTTCTGAAAGATATTATGGAATTGAGATGGGAGATTGTTAATTTATGCGAAGGATGATGGATTAAGGCCTAAGCGGAATATGGGAGGAGATCAGTGAAGGAGTGCTCCTTTTAGCATAATTGTGGAAGAGAGGCTTTGGAGGAAAAGAATGGACTGGTTTGGACGAGAGAGTTTTGACGACTTCTGAGGGATTATTATTAGTTACCGCAGGAATGGATGTTCATAATACGTATGAGAAATTATAATAGCTTTTCTTTCATTTTTAATAAATTTGATCAAGTATCAAAGAATATTTAAGTTACATGTTTTTTGTTGTTCCTAGCTAATAAAAAAAGAACATAATTAAATAAATAATCATTGTAACTTAAGATAAACAAAGAATTGAAATTTTCTAACTAGATCACATAAAAATTAAGGATTAAAATCATGTTACTATAATTTCATGATATAGAAATAATTGAATCATTAAAATAGTTTTACCAAAATTTTGAGGTGATTATAATTTTGAGGTGATTATCTTGAAACACAACCAAATTGTTTTTTAAAGATGAGACATGCTATCCGTACAAATTCCGATACAACAAATTAAATGTATGTTGCAAGCTATTTTAGAGATACAACAAACCACTACCACATATAAAGCTTCAACTCGATGCTAAAAAACATAAAACCACTACGTTTCACCTAATGCAACAGTTTATTAGTTGTTACATCCGATTGGTGCTGCAATAGATTAATGCATCGGTTTCCATGTACAATAGCAATGGAACACTTTTTGTTGCGTAATATCCTTCGATTGCAGAGTGGTTATCTTTTTACTTTAGGTATCGATTTTGAAAACGATATAGCATCGGTTTAAGTCAAAATGTATGCAACGATTCTTATAATATATGATTATTGAGATATTTTACACAACAATTTTATCAACTAATGCAATGGTTTATCTAATATATTATGCAACAATTTATAATCATTGGCGAGTGGTTTTTCTATTGTATTATGCAACGGTTTGGTTGTTTTAATGCAACAATGTTTCTCTATATAAACTAACCCTTTCTATCTATAATGAAATGATTTATAAAATATTTAATACAATAATTTACAATATTATTGCAATCAAATTTTTTTTTCAATTGCGACAGCATTTTTAATCAAATGCAATGATTATCATGTTATTTGCAATAATTTTTTTAAAAAATTCCAAATGTTAATTAATTATGAGAAAAATAATAATTTAAGTAGTTTCTTAACATAATTGTAAACATTAATTAATCTATTACAAGAAAAATAATAATCCAAATATCTAAAAAAATTAAAAAGCACAACAAAATATCAATATTTGGAAAAAAAAAATTCAAAGTTCCTATTAGACAAATTTAATAGACTAAAGTTCAAAGTTCAAAAAGCAAAACAAGAGACTTAAGTGTCAATCCTATTGTTGCCTTCCAAATTCAAGTTGTTCCTAACACTTGGCAACCTACAATTTTAAGAAAAAAGATTTATTAGCAAAGAAATATGGTAATTGTAATAATTGAACTTGTTTTTTTTTTAATCAAATAACGGATATAAAAATTAGTAATACCTAAAAACTATGACTCGTTGCTTGATAAATGTGAATTCCTTATATGATTTCCTATATGTGGTGTGCTATTAGCATTTCCTAGGATCGAGTAATGCGAACTCACTATATGTGTGTGTGTGTGTGTAGATATACATATATGTATGTATGTATGTATATACATATGTATACATACATACATAATATACATTAGTAAAAGAGGATGTAGTTTTCTACACGCGCGCGCGCGCACACACACACACACACACACATTAGGAAACAATTTTTCAAAAGTGTTAGTGTAGGTGCCCAAGATTTAACTATATTTAGATGGATTTGAATTATTGTATTATTGCATTATTTACTTTATTAATAATAAAAAATTATTTCTATTAATTCTTATATTTTATGTTCATTAATTCAGTAGAATTAGATAGAAGTCCTTATGATATGCATTTGCAATAATGATTGATCGAAAGATGTGAGACAAGCACAAATGCACATAAATGATATCATTAAATATCCTAAGTCGTAGCATTATTAAGAATAGACATTGACTATATGCGGTTAGACTTATAAGTATTATGCTCATGTTATATGATAACAGTAGGAGATCTCACACACATTGACATGGTGATGTTAAAGTAAGCACTTAGGTGATTTATGTTAGAGAACATATCACCGGACTTGACTCACCATGAGAACTTATTTGATTTAGTCTATGAGAATCTTATACGAGATGGGTATAATTGGTCTTTAGACGTGAAGTCATTACGGTTATTTCATTAAAGGATTTATGCACTTTGAAACTTGTTTCGATGGACCTAGTTAAGAGTTGCAAGTGGACAATTTGTTAGGTGCACTAGGAATCTAATGGAGGTAGGTGGATGACTAAGATAGAACACATCATTCCTTGTATGTTAAAGGAGTTACCATATTGCACTTCGATGAATGTCCGCTCAAGAAATCTATGACTACATTAGGAGTACACCGATAGAGTATAGTTGGTTTACCCTAGGAGCTAATGATCATACTCAAACAAGACTTATAACCAAGTTTGAGATCACACTCGTGATAAGTTGACATGAGGATCGAATTATATGGTAACCATGCTCGTGAAAGGTTATAATAGATTAATTAATCCTCTTAGAGAATTGGATAATTATGATACCTTATTGGAGGCCATTCTTGACTTATGTATCAAGAACAAAAGACGAGATAAAAGAGGTGTTTTTTGTTCTTGATACATTGCCAACATATTTAGGAACTTATTGAGTCATACGCATAAGTTTAAGCATCCACATGATTAAAAAGAAACAAAAATATTAGAAAATGTTTCCAATTTTAAAAGTTTTCTATTTTGGAAAAGGTTTCTGAAAATGAAAAGTTTCCTAGGAAACAAAATTTTCTAAAATGGAAGTTTTCTAAAATGAAATTTTTTCTATTTTAGAAATCAGTTTCCTAATTTGGAAGTTAGTTTCAAATTTTGAAGTAAATAACCTAAAATAATATTGAGTTTCCTAATTTAGGTTTAATGGTATTTTGAAAAATTGTTTCCTAATTTGGGTCACCTAAAATTATCTAATTTAATTTATTTGGATAGTCCAAATTAATTAATTAGGCTAAAATGGTTTTAGACTAATATATTTAATTAAAGGCCTAAAAGATAATTTGATGGGAGGATAGACATAAACTTTATTAGATAAGGATGAATGCTTTATAAATAAAGATCAAAAGTCCACATGATAAATAACTCTAAGGATTAGGAAGCAATAACTAAGAGTTTAATAAAGACTAATTACTCGCCCCTCTCTTTGTCCTTAGAGGATAAGGAAACTCTCTCTTTATAAATTGTAAAAGAGGTGCGACAAAAGGTGGTTTTTTGCTAGAGAGACTTTTTGCAAGAGAAAATTTGACAATAGCAAGAAAGAAAATTAGGGCATTCAGCACAAAGTAAAAAGAAAAAAAAGAAGGAGAAACTTGTTTTCTCCCTAACCCTAGCACGCCACCTTCTCTCTCTCTCTGGGTTGTACAATTACCCGGATTATATTTCTATAGAAAACACTAAACAAATCATAAAAGGTAGAGCTAACGCTCTATCAATTTTGAGTGCTTCTTTGTGATTGCTTGGACTACTTGGATAATCAATAGAGGTCGGACGCTTAGATAACTCTTTTCTTTATTAAAGAATTTAGATCTACACTACAAGAGGTAAATCTTTATTCATCACTTTAATTCATGAATATATGGTTAGTTGATTCAACGACATGATCTTATCCCTTTAGATGAAGAAAATTTTTATTTTATTCAGCACCTTTATAGGATGCATGATCCTTTAAAAGAAAAAATATTTCCATAGTGATCATGCATGATTTGTATGGTGACATTTTCTTTTCTATGTAGATAAGCATATGATTAGAGTATGGGCGAGTGTAGATTTTTTGCATTTTCTTTTGGAAACCTAAGCTAGTTCATTGGACTTGGAACACAGTATGGTTGTGATGTCAAATGGAGAAAATATGACATTAATTTAGCCTTGCAATGTTGTTCTAAAAGTGAAAAAGAAACCCTTTTTTTTTCCTTTTTGAATATGCATTAGAAACGATACATGAGTGAAATATAAGTGAGAACCAACTCATAGGATTGGATGAATAATTTAAACTAAAATGGAATTACATACTTGTGTATCTTTGATAGGAGGAAACCTTATCCTATCTTCACGAAGTGTAGTACTTTATAAAAATACAAAATTTTAAAAAATGTAAATTAAATTAAAAAAATCCAATACGCAATCTCTAAAGAGAGGAATTAAAAGAAAATCACATACAATATTATGACTTAGGTAGAGAAATTAAAAGAAAATTAGATACCTAAAAGAAGAAAAAAAATTTACGTAAGATCCTTTAACATAAAACCTAAAGATTTTTCCTTAATTTATAGTTGGTAAGACTTCAATCTAAACCAAGAGTTAAGTGGTAGATTAAGAAAAAGGAGATATTGAAACTGTGTGTGTGTGTGTGTAGAGAGAGAGAGAGAGAGAGAGAGAAAATTTAAATTGTTTAGTGGGTTAAGTTTATTTTAGGGGGTTCTAAAAATTTTATATGCAATGATTGAAAGTGGTTGCATAAACTTCTTTTGTGTAGTGGTTTTAATAAACCTCATCTTATTTAAACCATACGCAATGCTTTGTATAGCATTTTTTTTTTTTTTTTGGTTTAGTATGAAAAATCAAAATTTCATTGCAATAGTTTTAAACTACTGTAAAACCATTACCATACATTTCTATTAGCAACGGATTCGGAATCGCTCGCTAAGAAATCATTGCATAATGTCCAAAATGCAATCTTGTTGTATTTTATCGGTTTACATTACTTATAAGACTTAAAATTCAATAAAACATAGTAACACTCTTATCCGAATTATATTACAAAGA